TGGGGCCTCTGCCACTGGGGCTTCACCACTCAGCAGAAGGTGCTGGGGGGGACACAGAGTGATCACAGGGGAAGATTGGGGAGCCCTGAGACCCCCGCCAGCCCCCTGCCCAGCCGCTGCCCCACAGGCTGAGCCTCCACAGCACTGTGTCCTTTATTTCCAAAGCCCCCTCTCGTCCGCCAGCACCCTGGCGAGGTAGGTCAGTGTCAGGTCTTCGGGGGGTGGGGGGGGATGGTTTTGTCCTGTTTTGTAAGAAATTAAGTCACAGGGAGTTGCTCAAGGTCCCAGTGTGGCAACGGCCAGGTTGGGAGGAGAGGTCAGGGCTCCCTTCTCCCTCCCTGCCCCACGTCACCCTGCAGGAGGGTGCCCCATGTTCTCCTACCCCACTATTCTCTGCCCAGGTCCATCCCCGATGGTCCCAGCACACACGAGTCCCGTGCTAGGTGTTGAACCAGCTCTCCAGGTCGCGATAGACACGGCCACGGGGCAGGCTGGGGTAGGCGGTGCAGATGGTGCAGATCCGCTCCCTCCAGTCAGCGTAGAGCTTCACGCTGAACCTCCTCTGCCAGGCAAAGAACTGCCGGTAGCGGCTGGAGTTCATGGTCTTCAGGAAGGTGGCCAGCTCTGCCAGGGAACCAAAGTCATTGACATGAATGAAGGAGTCTGCAGGGACAAACTGCTCGTAGTTGGCCCGGGGAGGCCCCAGCACCACAGGCACGGTGCCGGCCATCAGCGAGTTCCTCCAGAGCTTCTCGGTGATGTAGTCCTGGTGGATGGAGTTCTCGAATGCCAGGTAGAACTTGGACTTGGACGTCGTCGGCAAGAGGCAGTCCTTGCAAAGCGGCTTTTTGTTTGCTTTCCCATATATGTTCACATGGAGGTACCTGGAGAGGTTTTTGTAGACTTCAGCTCTTTTCTGAGTCCTGTGGTAGTTGCTGATAACCCAGGACACCAAGTTGGTCTTCATGGGGATGTTCATGGTGGCTGACTGGTTGGGCACAAGCTTGCCGTAGGGGATGAAGATGTCTGAATCCTGTCTGTAGGTCATCACCCAGTTGAAGGTCTGGTTCCATCCTGCTAGAGCTTTAGTGTTGGAGGGAGACTCCAGGGAGACCCACACCCAGTTCTGCCCCGGCGGCCTCTCCTTGGGCAGCCTGTCCCTGCCGGGCTGGAGCCTGGTGGCAGGGAACACCACCACGTCCGCCTGGACCAGGAGCCGCCGCTCCGTGGCGGCCCCGCCGCTCCGTGGTGAGCCAGCAGCCCGTGATGCCATACAGCTCATGGCAAATGTCCCCACTGATGTTGGGGACTTGCTTTGAGGGCCATTCCCACACCAGGACCACCAGTGGCTCAGTCTGCTTGGGGGCTTCTCCAGAGACCTTGGAAGGATCGAGGAAGCACCTCAGGTTCCAGAGGGTGGTTACAAACACCCCAGCAATGACCACCACCTTCACACCAGGCCAGCCCCACCGTGGCCGTGGCAGTGGCGATGCCCGGGGCATGCTGCTGGGCTGGCTGTTACCTTCTTGGGTGACAGAGCTGACACCTGGGAGAGAGCAGAGGCCACCAAGGGCCATCAGCTCACCTTGCTGGGAGTGGGGGGTAGTGGGGAGGTGCTGGGGCTGGAGAGGGTGGAGAAAGGGCTTCTCAATGAAACATGGGTCCCATGATTCACCCCTAGCCCCTCTGCTGATCCTCCCCCCCACATCCCCAGTCCCCTGTGCACCTGGTGTCACCCCACGGTGGCTTTTGTGACACTTTCCCACGGTCCCCAGTGTCCCCATCTCTGGGGTGAGCAGGGATGCTGCCAAAGGGGGCCACAGAACAGCAGCTGCCCACCCCCCACCCCAACTGCCTAGCACCTTACGTGCACGGGGGATGTGATCCTTGGTACCTTGTGCCTCAGTTTCCCCATCTGACAAACAGCCCCGGTCCCACTCCACCCTTCTTGCTTTGCCTGGGGCAGGTTGAGTCTCAAACGCAGCCAG